CTCGTGCCCGGGCCCCTGGTCGGTCTGAGCAGGGGGGGCCCTGGCCCGTCGGTGAGCCCCGTGCCCCTTCCCTCGCTGCTGGGGCCGCAGCAGCGGGCGCCCTCGAGCTGCCCCTCTGGGGCCGGAGCTGCTCAGGAGGGCTGCTGGAAGGTCTAGCAGGAGCGCTCGGAGGCCTTTGCTTGTGCCAGCAGTACCCTGGGATGTCACTGCACCTCTGCCCTGGCCCTGAGCCGCCTCGTCCTCCTGGGTGCTCACCCCTGCCTGCTGCTGCCTCTGCTCTTCCTTTGCTTGACTCCCAGTGGTAGTTCTTCAGCTGTGGTTTGCTGAGTGTGCCCAGTCCCTGTGTGTTCCCCTCTCTCTCCCCATCCCCCCGGCCCGCCTCTCTGACCAACCCTGTGCTGTAGAGCCTCCTGGACATGATGGTCGCAGAGGAGGAGAACCTGAAGGAGCGTCTCTTGAAGAGCATTGCCTTGCGTCGGAAGGAGCTTGACACCCTTTGTAGGGAGCTCCATCTGGACCCCTTTGAGGTAAGGTGTTGCCTCGCTCCTAGGATCTTGTTGGCAGCAGACTTCTACTGCCTGGCTTCTGCCCAGGTGCCTCAGTGAGGCCTGAGCTCTCAGAGCAAATTCCTGTTCAAAGCTGTTCTCCCTGAGGCTTGCTAGAGCCAAAGGCCTTGTGGCTTCTTGCGGGGCGGGTGTTGGGAGATGGTTGCAAGGTCAGGTATCTTGCAGCATCTTGTTTTGTATGTGTTGCTGGATTTGCACCTGCCTTGGGAGCACGTTGTTCAAAATCAGGGCTTGCCTCTTAGCCCTTCATTTAAGAAGCCCCAGCTATGTGCTTTGAGCCTGCGAGAGCTAAGGAACAGAGTGCTGATTTTTGGACCCTTCTAGGCAGAGGAGGAAAGTACCATTCTGCAGCTGGAGAAGGATTTGCGCACCCGTGTGGAAGTGATGTTAAAGCAGAAGAGGGACAGGAAGCAGGAGCTGAAAACCTTGCAAGAACAAGACCGAGACCTGTGCGACATTCTTTGCACCAGTCCATTCTGTATTGACAGCAATGCCGTGCCCAGCCTGGAGGAGCTGGATCGTTATAGGCGCCACTTGGCCTCCCTGACTGCTGAGAAGGTAGGTGAAGAGGGGCCGAGGCTGTCCCTGAAGGTGTCCTGGCAGAGTGCTCTCTGGTTCCTAATGCCGCTCATCGTCTCCAGGAGCAAAGGCGAGAAGAGTTTGTCAGCACCAAGCGGCAAATCATCCTTTGCATGGAGGAGCTGGACCACACTCCAGACACCAGCTTTGAGCGGGATGTGGTGTGCGAGGATGAAGAAACCTTCTGTTTGTCCACAGACAACATTGCTGCCCTCCAGAATCTGCTTCAGCAGGTGTGTGGGCGCTCTGAGGCAGTGTTACCTGCTGTGACTTATAGGGCTGTGGAGGTTGTCAGTGGATTCTGGCAGCAGTTAGCAGCACCCATAACGCAAAGTGCAAAACATAACTGTTCTGTTTTCAGTAAGCTTATGTGTTAGAGGGTCCTTATAGCAGCTTTTGCAAGGGGATCTTGCAACATGAGCAAGTGGCTCTGCTGGTCACAGTGGAGCAAACAGCCTACTTGTGTCCCTCAGGACTGGGCTGCCCTTATGCTGACTCTGTGCTTTCCCTGCTGTAGCTGGAAGCCCGACGATCCCTAAATGAAGCTATGTGCGCAGAACTGCGCTCCAGAATTGTTGCCCTTTGGGAAAGGCTGCAGATTCCTGTGGAGGAGAGAGAAGCTTTTGCAGTGCATATGACCGGATCTAGAGCCAAAACCAGGAAAGCTGTAAGGAATATTCTATGCCCTTTGGAGGGGGGTGGCAGGGGAGCAGTAGCTCTGAGCTCAAATTTGTTTCCTCAGCCAGAGTGGAGGAATAGCTTGCAGTAGTCAAGTGTAACGTGAACAGGCTAAATCCTGCCGTCACAGGTGGAGGAGCTGGGAGTTGGTGCTGGTGAATGGCTCGCATTAGAAAGTGGCTTATGCAGAAGGCAAATCCTGTTCTGCTCATGCTGACTTCTCCGAATCTGTGCTCCGTTCTTGTTGGCAGCTGCAGTTGGAAGTGGACCGTCTGGAGGAGCTGAAGCTGCAGAACATGAAGTCTGTGATTCAGGCAATCAGGGCAGAGCTGGCTGACTACTGGGACAAATGCTTCTATAGCCAGGAGCAGAGAGATGTCTTCAGCCCCTATTATGATGGTGTGTGCTGACTCTTCTTGTTTGTTGTCCTCCGCTTTGGGAGGCGCGGGTTGTCTGTCAGCAGGCCAGCTGCCAAAGGGGACTGCTCTGCTGCTTGCAGAGGGGTGGCAATCCTGGTTGCCTCTCTGTGAATACGCTATTGTATCTCTCCAGAGGACTACACGGAGACCTTGCTCCAGCTGCATGATGCTGAGGTGGGGAAGGTGAAGTGTTACTACGAGACGCACAAGGATCTGTTTGAGGCTGTCCAAAAATGGGAGGAAAACTGGAAGCTGTTTCTGGAGCTTGAGGTATCACCTAGGCAGGAATGCGTTCTGCCTCTCACTCAAGTTGAGCGCTAGGTGACGAAGGTGTGCACGCTTCCACCCAAGTGTGAAGTGCTGCTGGGAAAGACCAGGAAGGCACTATGAAACCATAGTGGGTTGGCAAGGGAATGGGGCGCTGTCCTGGAGCGCTGGTGTGATCTGTGATGAGCTTGCCGTGCAGGGGCCGATCACGGAAGTGATGACTTCCTCCAGGTCTTATATGCTAATAGGGTGTATGTTGGGCTATGAGGCTGGACTGTGCGCTTGGTTCTCTCCTGACCTCCCTTCTGTGTGCTAGAGGAAAGCAACCGACCCCAGTCGCTTCGCCAACCGTGGGGGGAACCTGCTGAAAGAAGAGAAGCAGCGAGCAAAACTGCAGAAGACTCTTTCCAAGGTAGGCTCAGCCCTGGAGAGGGGGAAGCTGTGGTCCCTGATAGGACTACCTAATGGTGACAAAGGAGAAGCACAGCGCTTAGGGCTGGTAGGGATATCTCTGGCTGTGGAGATGCTCGTGTTCAGGAGGGTGGCATCTCTGAGGGGCTCTGGCAGCAGCTCTGTCACACACTGCCCTTGTGTCCTGATCCAGCTGCAGGAAGAGCTGGAGAGCAGAGTCCAGGCCTGGGAGCAGGAGCGTGAGGAGGCCTTCCTGGTGAAGGGACAGCAGTTCATGGAGTATGTGACAGAGCAGTGGCAGCTGTATCGCCTGGAGAAAGAGAAGGAGAAGCAGGAGAGGGTGAGTGCCAAGCTGATCATGCTGCCTCCTGGCCTCGGGGAGCCTTCTGCCTCAACCCCACACCAGAGTGGCCTAGGTCCGAGTGAGTGGGGAGAAGGGCCCCAGTTGCAGGTTCCTCATCAGCTGCTGCCAGGAGCTCTCTAAGGAGGAGCGTGGCATCTTCTCACTCTCTACCCATAAATGGCTCCGTATGCAGTGGCCTTTCTTAGCCAGTGAGATTAGTTTCCATTGCTGTTGATGTGTGTGTTGAGCCCCTTTCCTGGCCCCAGCTGTGCCAGGACCGCATTTTGGTTCTTGATATCCACAAATCTCCAGTGAAATGCGTGTACTTAATTGTACCACCGGCTGGCTGCTAGCAGAGGCCTTCTCCTGGTATCGAGCGGCAAATGGGCGCTTCGGTAGTGTGTGGCTGGCTCTGTGCTGGTCGTGTGTCCTGGTTTGTAAGTGTGGTTCTCTCGTGCAGCACCTGAAGAAAAGCCGCCAGATTGAGGCAGAGATGATGTATGGAAGTGCCCCACAGACACCCATCAAGCGTCGGGTGCTTGGCCCCCACATGCCTGGCAAAGTAAGGAAGGTAAATTGTCTATATTGAGCAGCACAGACAGGCTGAGCCCTTAGTGCTTGGCCAGGACCCCGCTAGGAATTGGGCAGTGCTGTTGCTGGGCAGCACTCTAAGGAAAACGGTGCTCAGAGCTGTTCCTTGTCTCATTTCTGCCCGTCTTGCATGCAGACGTGCAGGGAGGATTCAGGGCCACTGAGGGCAGTGTAATGGAAGCAGGGATAGGAACTGGGCTATGGACACCTCTGGTCTCTGTGGGGACAACTAGACTTGCCACACTGATGTGGTGTTCTGGGGCCCAGCTGCATGTTCTTGAAGGCTCTGTGCAGCAAGTACTTCCACCTTAGCGTCCTCGGTGTGGCACAGCCAGGGGCTTCCCTCCTACGTTGTTTGTGCTCTGCTTTCCCCTCAGCTCAATGGCACTTCCATCTCCAGCGCAACACCCAACAGCACGGTCCGTTCAGCTTTTGGGGGAACTCTCTACCACTCGCCGACGTCTCGGCTACCGCCCTCTGGAGGGAAGGTGAGGAGCTCTGCCTGGGGAGCCCCTGCCCACCAGGCTGGGTTGGGGAGGAGACGGGTGAGCCGGGATGCAGAACGGCACAATGGGCAGAGCTCTGCTCTTTCTCCTATCTCACCTGCCAGATTCCTGGGATGCAAAAGCCACTTTGTCAACAACCTGCTGTGCTGGGCTGCCCTGTTGCTTGCAGGATGTTTCTGGGACCGGCCCTGTCAGGGAGGAAGGGAGAGTAATAGCTGAATTTGGGAAAACTCCCTCCAGCTCTGACTTCTAGTTTACTTCTGTTCCTCTGTGCCAAGTCTGCAGCTTAGGGAGGCCTCCAAAATGCAAGTGTGGTACCACATGTATCCTGGATCAAAACTGGGCCCTAGCCTATGGAGGGAGTTGTGGAGCTTGAAACTACAGCAGAGAGCGATAGAAAGTGAAGGTAGCATAGCTCTCCTAGTTCTGTTTGATTTGCGCGCCCGGTCTAACCCGTGCTTGTTTCCATAGTTTGGCCAGGCTGCTCAGACTCCCAGCCGCGTGGCTACGAAACCTCCTCGGCCAGGACGCAAGGAGCGGAACAAGGAGAACGTGTCCCAGCTGAACGGAACCACCCTGAGCGGTGGGTGCACCCCCACAGCCCCTGCCCAGCGTAACTACAGCGTTAATTCTGTTGCCAGCACCTATTCTGAGTTTGCGGTAATTGACCTCTTCTAAAAACACCTCCCCCTCACTGGGCAGCACAAAAAGGGCATGCTCCCCCTTCCTTCCAGAGCACCCCAAAGGGCTACAGCTGTGCACAGGGCTCCTGGTGTCCCTGCGCAGAACAGCTGCTCCCGGCAGCACCAATGGCACCAGATCTCTTGTCTCCTCATCAAGAACTTAGCAATGAGGCTGATGACTGAGGCCAAGCAAGCGCTGCTCGTGTCACATGAAGGTCCTGAGCAGTCCAGTGGGATATAGACATAAGCAAAAGAGAACGAATGCTCCTGTCTGGGGCCTCTCCCAGTGCCATACCTAGATGGAGGGGTTGGCACTAGATGGAGGTCGTTAGTGGTCTCTGCCCTTCCATTAGAACTGGCCAAGCCAAGGCTCTGATGTTTTTTTGACGGTAGAAAGTCACAAGCATTCCTTCTGCATGGCAGTTAAAGCTTATGCATGCAGTGCAGTGTGTGTCTAGGGCTTGCTGAGGATTTCCAGGCAGCCAGGCTTGATCCCGCACTCGTGGACACCTCTAAGGAGCAAGACTGCCGGTTTGTGAGCCCGACACGCTCTGCTCCTCTGGAGGCAGATTCCTTCTGAACATTCCCTTCCCTTAGTGTTAAGGCATGGCTGTCCTTGCGCTCACATGTTGCGTGTCCTGTAGCTCTAGGGCCTGCTTATTAGCTTTCTTGGTCCTCTAACAGAGGCCAAATCTGCCCTTCAGAGCTCTACAGTGTGAGCTTGGCCTCCTCTGAGCCAGAACGTGTTTCCCAGGCTGGTGCCAGAAAGCTGCCAGCTGCAGAAGGGAGGGATGTGGTTCTCACCATAGGGCTGTTTGGGCAACAGGTACTCTGCCTCTGGGAGGCTTAAGGGTTCTGACTCCCCTCTCCTGGCTATTCCATGCCACCACTTCCTTGCCCTCTCCTGAAGCAACAGCAGGTGGGAGCATAAACGAACTAGCAGGAGCAGCTCGGCTGCCCTCCTTGGCCTGGAACAGCTGCAGCTTCCCCACCAAGCTCTGAAGCAATGGCTCTCTCCTTGTTGCTATTGGCACAGCTGCCCTCAGTCACTTCATCGCCATCTTCCACTTCTTGTTTTCACAGCGCGAACTTTCAAAGGCTTCCAGGTGTGACACTAGCTCCCGCATCCTGAACTCCACCACCACTACCAACACCTACTGCTGAGGCATTACCTGTGCAAGGTTCCAGCTGTCTGTAGTCGTAGTGAGTCGCTGTTCTGGCAGAGTGCAGTCACAGCTGTCTGTGTCTGGACCCAAAGCACGCAGTGCTGTAGGCCTAACTTTTAGCTAGGTCCCAGCTGTTACTCTGCAAGCCTGGCTTCCTGCGGGTTTGGGGGAATGTAGCTACCTGCCAGGATAGGGTATGAAAGGGACACTTGTTTTTAAAAACTGCTTTTATTTTTTTCAACTATTTGAGATTAAAGTTTTGAGTACACTGTCTTGTTGGGGTAGCACAGCAGTGGGTGCTGGCTTCTGCTGCAGAGGGACCTTCTGCAGCCTACCTGGGGCTGGGGTGTTGGTGCTAGGTCACGAGGGCTCTGCCTTTCTGATCATGCTGTGGGACAGATGGCACCTCTTTTGGGGAGACTTGGCCTCAGAGTCTCTCATCCCAGTTCTTTTCTCCATGTTTCTGTAGTTGTTTTCCATCACGATCTTCCCAAGGGCACAGCAGGCCTGTTTGTAACAGGGACTTATGTTAGCTAAGATTTCTTTAGCGGGCTGTGCCCAGCTTGCTGGTAGGTGCGCGATAGGCTCGCCCTGTGCTGCAGGCTGGACTCAGGGCTGAGTGTCAAACAGCTTCCCCCTGTGCTCCCCAGCTCTGAACCTGGGGTCCCCAGGAGGGAACAGCAGCACACGCCACTGAAAACAAGCCTCAATGCTGTCCTGCGGGGGCCGTGCTGCCCTTTTGCGCTCAGAAAGAGCAGAGGGAGCTGTGTGGTATCCGCTAGCCCCCAGCTCTGGATGCAGCAGAGCTAGTGGAGGGGGTCGCCCGAGCTCCTGTTGCTAGCGAAGAGTCGAGTTGCAGTGGGACAAGGACGACTTCACCCCTGCAAAGGGGCAGCTTGTTACGGCTCCCACACGTGCTCCGCACCACCCAGGGCTCCTAGCTGCCCTCCTTCCCTCCAGCGAGGATCAGCAAGCCGCGTGCTTCTGTGGTCCTACACGTGGCACTGGGCATAGCTGGTGGCAGCCTGTTTGCACCTTTGTTAATGAAGCTCTGTATGTATGTTTGTCTGTCCCTGATCATCATGACTAATTTGCACCTTGTTATCACTACAGTCCCCCACTGCTGTTATTTATTCCCTGGCTTTTGTCCCTTTGCTCTGTAACTCTGTATATACTGTTTATGGGAATAATGCATATCTGTGTATATAGCCAGTGCTGTTGGTGTCGGTATGTTGGGGTGCCCACAGGCTGCGTGGGGGTGGCCCTGTGTGTCCTGGGAGGGGGAGAGGAGCAAGGGTGGCTCTCTTCAGCCTGCATGCATTAAACCTGGCCTGTTCCCAGAGCTGCCAGGAAGACTGGAACAGCCCTCTATGCAACATGAAGCATTACCGCAGCTGTGTTATGAAAAAGGAGATGTAATAAATAAACTCGGTCCTTCCCTGTTCAGCGCAGCAACCCCCTTCGAGTGTGTGAGTTCAGTTCAGTGCGGTGTCAGACCCGGCTGTGTCATCTCTCTCTGTGAAGGCTGTTCAGCCTCACAGAGAAGAAAGCAGAGCAGCTGCCAGGGCTGGTCCTGGTGGCAGCGCGGGAAGGCAGTGTCGTCCTCCCCCCGAGCCTGCAGCAGTCACAGCGTCGCTGGGAGCCCTCACTGCTCCAGCACGCACACGTAGGTGGTCCAGGGCCCACACACCACATCCTCAGCACGTAGTCCGTTGGCTGCGAGGTAGTCTACGCGCCGCTGCTGGTCAGAGCTGGTGTTGTCCTCGTGGCCCAGCTGTCCATATTTACCTGGAGACAAAAAAACAATCACTGTGATGGAGGCATTGGGTCCTCTATCCATGTAATATAGCAGTTTCCCCAGGGCTTTTGATGGGTGCACTGAAATGTAAGAGCACTCCAAATAGCTGCAGCTAGGAGACAGTGAAAATATTCTACTATAATAACTAATAATGTTAAAATTTTAAAAATCGTAATGATATAAATAATTGCACCTGCAGTAAATAACAAGAAAAATGAAAGTCAGTCCTAGAAAGTGTTCTACAGTCACAGAGCAAAAGCGTCACTTACCCCAGCCCCAGGTGTACAGCTCACCTCCTCCTGAAAAGGAGACAGCAGTGATCAACCAGCAGCCACCTTGCCAGCTCGCGGGGCTGCTGGCTTCAGCCCTGGCCGGCCGGGCCCTAAGGAGCCCCGACCTTCCGGGGATGGGCGTGGGCCAGCGGCGGCCCGGC